ATTTGTTTTCATTATATATGTTTTGGTAAGGCTTTATTGTGATAGGTGAAATGCTGAATTACACATCTGTCGACAGGTGTGTGATAAAATTGCTTGCTGTTCAAATACATTGTTCATGATGTCCATAGAACCTGCCTCATTATACAAATTACATATGTAGATATTTAATATAACATGCATTTCTCAGTTTGACATTGCTGAGTGTGTTTGTATTCCATCTTAATAATAATGATCTTATTTATCACAAAATATGTAAACATCTTGGCTAAGACTGTACAACAAGCTCTTTGAATATTAATAAAAATACGAATTCAATCATAGATTAAATACTGGATAATATCATGTTCCATGATATACAAGAGTGAGTGTATATGTGAAGAACAACCTAAATATCTCTTCAATGCAATAGATGGCGCCACACTATACTATTATTAATGTTTTTTTACCTCCCATAAGATATTTTTTTTAATTTGGTCAAAAAATTTATAAGCATTTTTAATGAAAAGTTATTCTTTGGTGAATTTTTCCTTCACCGTACAATGCATTGCGTTTATCGTCACAATTAATAAATCGCAGGGTCAGACATTTGATGATGTAAGAACATTTCTTCTTTCAGGGTTCAATCTATAAAGGCTTTATCAGGAAAGTTTGAATACAAAAATTACACATAAGACAAAATCTAATCAAGGTCCACTTATAGGAAATGACCAAATATAAAAATATGTTATTTTTGTGAAATACTAGAAAAAAGTAAAAAAAACAAACACACATTCTTTATGTGTACATATAATTACTTATTAGAAAACGTGTTCATAAAACAATTAAATTATTTTGACTTAATTTTCAGAGGAAACATTACTCAGCATTTACCGTTATATGACAGGCAGTCAGCTCATATTTAGTATATAAGTTCCTTCGACAAACAGCCCTCCAGTTAGGGCAGCGTTAAGTCTACGGTCTTACAATACTGAAATCCAGGATTAGATTCCCCGCGGTGGACACAGCAGAGAGTCACATGTGGCTTTGCTCTAAAAAACACCCGGATTAACAATTTAATAATATGCTTGCCCCCTCCCCAGTGGCTTAGCGGTAAGTCTGCAGGCTGACAGCGCTAAATTTCTGGTTTAGATATTCGTGGTGGGTAGAGTACAAATGACCCATTGTGTAGCTTTGTGCTTAACAGCGACCAAACCTAAAGTAGTATATTTCTGATAACAACTAAATTTTCAGAGTAAAAACGTAGATATGAAAGTGCAAGCTTCAAAATATATTTTTTATGCACACGGATTTGTATTTATGAAAAAGCTACGAAGGCTATCTGCCGTCGTCACAAATTTTTAACTTCTGACTAGAGAGAAGGCAGCCATTCATCAACACCCTACCACTTAACATTCACCTCGAGAGACTGACTATTACTCTTATAATGCATACAGTGCTTGAAATAGAGGAAGATATTTTGTGGTATTGCACCGATTCAAATCAGGCTCGACTGCTCCACAATCCAAAACATTCTCTACCATAGGGCCATCTTACAGGTAGATTTAGCTGTTATTAACAAATATTAATGTGAATTAGAATGTGCGTTAACTAACCTCTGAGGTGAAGTGTAGACCTGTGCAACCCTTTTTTAAATATGTACCTTCTTTATTCATTGAATAGTATGCAAGAAAACAAAGCAAAAAACAGTGTTCTTTATAATCACTCGTAGCTATACATAATCATGATCGTCGTTTACTGTAAACCGTCCTGTTTGGTTAAACGGGAATGGTTTCCACAAAATTTATCTTCCTTCAGTGACATAAAATAGATGTAGAGGACAAACTACAGGAAAAACTAAATTGAAACTAACTATATAAAGAAAAAAATAAGATGGTTGATGAAGACGATTTTAAGCTCTTTCTAACAGACTACTTACAAAGCATAGGTTTTTAATAGACTATTTATAGAGTACATGGTTGAACTGGGCGATTTTAAACTGTTTTTAATATACTACTTACAAAGTATGTGATTCATTAGAACGCTTTTGCAGTGTTTGTAACAGAATATTTACAAAGCACCTTCTTCATTAAGTAGATATGCAATTTGACTAATCTTTTGAGTGGCAAATTGCATATCCAGCTCTGCACTTGGTGAAAGCCACACAAATCCAGTGAAAGTATTCAAGTAAAAGTGAACTCTCAGTCCGTTTTGAAGCTCTTGTAATACACTTTAAATATCTTACCTTAAAATTTGCAGGTTATATTAAGGAGAGTGCATTCCCCAGTTGTTGTTGTTTTTTCTCTTGAAAACCTGGAAAACACACACAATTGTGCGAAAAATTAGTAAAATCTCTGAAAGGATTTTCAGTAGAGTTCATTCTCCAAGAACATTGTTATAAGACAAAGGAAGTGGATTGGAAGTGCAGAAGTGTAGCAGTCGAGTTGAGAAGCTTGTCAGAAATGGCAAAGCAGTTGCGTCACTTCTTGTTCAAAGCAGCCAATTTAATAGTAGAGTCGTGTTCAAGATTTCCACTGTCTGAATTTGGTACATTTAATGCATTAAATTTAATAATAATCTATAATTTTCATCTTACGAAAAAATATATTCTACATCAAGAAGTAAAACATAACTAAAAATATAACTAAACTGGTTCTGCCGCTCGCATCAATAACGATGGCATGAAAGTAAAATGTGGGCAGTTGAGACCGGTTTGTTATAAAGACCACACATTGGCAGATCATTCCCTGATAAAGGAAAACAATGAGCAAAAAACTGTGGCCAATGTATAGCTTAAACAAGACACTTCCTCCATCTGATCCTTATGGAAACTAAACAGCCAAATAACAACAGTAGTTTTGATCTGGAGAAGCTTGTTATGAAGTTGCTCATTCCAAATCAATTGCCAACTGGCGTGAAGCCGTGCCTTGATCATAGGTCCATAGTCCACATAAGGGACGGGAATGGCTGTGACAACACCAGAGCAGATGGACTTAGCTGCAAAATCAGCAAGCTCGTTTCTACGAATACCGACATGGCTAGGAATCCAGAAAAACTGAATACAAATGGATGACAAAAAAATTGGGCCAGTCGTTTCTGAATATGTTAGAGAACAGGGTGAGAACTCACATTAAGCAACCACAGGGCCAGTAAAATGGCATACAACTCGGCAGTGAACATATAAACTGTAGAGAGGGTCCTGTGAGCAACTACCAATCCACAGAGTCACCTGATTTTGAACCATCCATAAAAACTGGATTAAAAGAATGTTTCGAAAGATGTTCAGAAAACAGATGAGACTACCAATCAGGAGTATTCATCGTTCTCAGAAGACTCAAAGTTCACAAAAGGTTATGGTAATGAACCATGGTAAGATGAGCTGATCATCACACTCAGCAACACCATCGAAGGTCAGACGTAATTCAACCAACCACACCTGGATACGAAGGCTAACTGGAGGAATGACAGACTGCCTATTCTCAAAGAGTAAAGCCCACCAAGGAAGGAAGACATAATCCCAGGTGAGTTGCCGTGGTAAGGATCGAAACTTCATAACATAAAGCAAAGAAAGTTGTAAACATCTGAAGTGAATGAGGAGGTTCATAGAACACAGTGAGCAAACTCTGTACTGGTGTGAAGTGCAGAAATCCCCTATGCAGAACCAAAGCCCCAGATGATGTACAGGACTGAGCTGTAAACCATAGACCAATAGCCCAAATTTAAACATATGAAGGTATGATAGATCTTCAGCATAGAACATTGATCTACCCACTCCCCAAGAAATGGAAGAGAAGACACAGAGGATGTTCAGTGGTCGTGTACACTTGACACGAAGCTGCTTAGTGTGAGGAATAAATGTCAACTTACAGTCAAATATAAGTCACAAGAACTTTATCTCAGCTACCATGGGAAGAACATCACTACCAAGACGGAGCTCAGGATCATATGCCAGTAGAATATTGAACTCTACAGAAAGAAATTATACTACTACAAAGGTAGAATGTCTAACCATAGACTGGGCTGTATAAATATTTAAGATATACCTAAATGGAGAAGCATTTACAGTTATAACTGACCACACAACCTTGAAATGGTTACAGTCAACTCTGAAGTTAACTGGTAGACTGGTGCATTGATCATTGAAATTGCAGGACTTAACATTTGAAATAGTTCACAGAAAAGGAAAAAAAAACAGTTACCTGATTCCTTATCTAGACATCCTACTAATATCCGAGAAGAAACTCCAGAATTTGACGTTGGTATTTACTCTTATTTGAAAACTGAACTATAGTTGCTGAGACTGTAAGTAAATCCAAACACTGTGTTTTGAATGACAATACTCTTTATTACACAAACAGGGTTAATAACAATGGCGAATTCAGACCAGTTATTCCCAAAACATAGGGATTGGCATTGTTAATCGAATTACATGATCATCCTGTGGCTGGTCATCTAAGTGTTCGAAATACAATCGACAAAGTAGGTAGACGTGGTTATTGGCCTGGTATGAGAAAGGATATTAAATATTATGTGTTGTCATGCTATGCTTCTCAAACCACTAAATTTGATTAGAAGCAGGTAGCTGGATTTTTGCAAAGCACTAAACTAATGGAACCTGGTCAGATAATAGAAGTAGACATCATGGGACCTTATCCTAAATCTAATACAGGAAACAGATATTTGTTGATTGTAGCAGGTTATTTCAGTAAACTGGTTGAATTATATCTTCTCGAACAAATAATTGAGAATTGTAAACTAATTAATAAATACTTGTGTAGATATGGTATTCCAAAGACTCTTGTCATTTGTGTGTCATTTGATAGACGAAACTTGTAAAGCTGTGGGAATTAAACATATCTTTACAGCTCCATATCACCTTCAGTCTAACATTACTGAAAGAGTACATAGAAATATAAGTAGAATGATTACATTGAAAAATATCATTGAACTTGGGGTAATCGTTTATCTGAATTTTTCTCTGGCCATTAAAACTTCTATTTATGATTCTACAGGTTACACGCCAGCCAAATTTGGAATGATATATCTTCCTTCCTTGGAGTTGACTGATGAAATACCCAACAGTGTCTCAAACCATAGATGAATGAATGGCAGAATTACAAGATGTCATACAAAAGGCAAGAGCCAATATTGAAAAGGCTCAGAAACGACAGTGACAAGCCTACAACCATAAGAGATGCTCAGACACCCTTTAAGTAGGTGATTTAATATTAATTAGGACATATCCTTTATTTTCTCCAGTAAATAACTTTACTGCAAAAGTTGCTCTGAGGTAGAATGGACCTTTCGAAGTTATGAAAAATATTACTCCATTATTGCATGAATTAAAAGATCCTAGATCAGGTGCAGTTAGGACAATCTCATATTTTTAATATAAAGATATATATATATATTTCCCAAGAGAAAATTCTCTCGACACTTAAGATGATGGTAAGCAGTTGCAGCAAAACGGAAATGTCGACTATAGAAGACTTGGAGGTCGTTCCTCCACAAGACAAAGGACTTCTGCTAGTGTGTCCACTTCTTATCCTTCAATAGGTTCTGTTGATGATTAACCTCTGTCTCCTCCTCAAGTAACATTGTGGCCAGGTTGCAGAATTGATTATCGTAAATAGCTGTTCTTTGAACTGTTAAATTTTCAGTAAGCCAAACCAGAGCCAGAAGCTAGAGAAAATCATGCTGAATATAAAAAAAACGTAAATTATATTTTACTTTTAAGATATCTTTACTTAAACTGCCAAAAATTCATAATGTTAGTATAAAGAGGGAGTTGAAAGTAAGAATAAGAAAATTGGGATATTTTATAAGATGTGATTAATGTCATCACTTCGTATTTCTAAGGGGAAAGGAGTGTGAGATATCGAATTAAATTTTTGTTTGTTTGAAGTTCATTTATTATTTCTTCTGTCGTTTAGTCTATCTATGTATTTTTAGTTACATTAAAACACAAACACACCTTCCGGTTGATTACGTTTATTTTGAGTAAATATGTATATATTATGAAAGTGACAACAGTTTTCCTTACGGTGGTGTACAAATATTATTAATATAGCAAGATATTATGTAAATTTATGATTACATGAGATGTACACTCGTGACCTAAGCAGTGAATAAATTTCCTGTCATAAACTTTATAAACTGAGTTACGAGATAGTTAGCAAACAATATACTTAGTGAATTATTGCTGTTTGTCATCGATATTGTTTTTAATATGGAAAGGTAATTTTGGAATATTGTATTGTGTTTTTTTTCAATTAGGGTTTTTCTTCTGGTTCTTTTTCTTGATTCTATTATTTGAAATAATTAAAATTGAAATTTATGTTTTATTGTTCATTAATATCAAGTTCTAGCCAGGCACACGTACATAAACTGTATTTTTGGTAAGTGCTAAATTTGATTCCAAGTGTTGTTACATTTTAATAAAGTGTTTGTTGTTGTTAAACCCTGATTATAGTGGCGCGTCATTTTAGATGTTACAAACCCGTCTACAGGAATTCAAGGCCAAGGTGGTGTGTTACAGTGCCCCTGACACCACTCAACCACCAGGTTCCTCTCTTCCCCTTCACGGGTCTCCACACATGGCAAACACGTGGGTAGATGTTTGGATCCCAAAGAAGGTAAACTGTACAGACAGAACCTCCCCTGGGAGGTCCTCTCACCACGTACAGAAATCCACATCGAGGTTGTTTTTTTTTTTACATTGGTCACCACTAAAAGGCAACAAAACTATCAGCAAACATAGACAAACAAAAAATATAATATATTGTCACAAGAAATGAACAGTAGAAAACAGACACAACCACCTAAACATTTAATAATCATTGAAGGTATTCCAGGCACGTATAAAGAACTACACCTGGCAGCTGGAATTTAGTACTGCAAACCCAATACCAAGATTGTTGTTATTAAACGCTTAGCAAAGGGCAGCATCCTGATCAAGGGGCAGAGGCAGCTGACCTAAACAGCCTACTTAAAGAATGGTCTCATAATGCCTTCCATCCAGGTTACATTTTAATTCATTTGCCCGGAGCAAAATCAAACATTATAGTGTTTGTAATAAGAGGAAGCCCCTTGATGGGACAGCGTTAAGTCTTTGGAGCTGCAACACTATAATCAGGGTTCGATTCCTCTTGGTGGACACAGCAAGGAGCCCGATGTGGCTTTGCTATAACAAAACACACACACACACACACAAAGGACAAAAAAGAGGAATACATTACAACATAGAAATAGAACCGGTAAAAGACGAACTAACACAAAACAACATTCTCTTCAAGAAAGGAACGCATCACTTCAAGCAGGACACAAAAATAATTGTGTACTAACTACTGCAGCATATATATATATGTAGGTGCGGGCTGTGTCAATAACGGCTGGAGGAGTGGTATTTTGTAATTGTTTGTTGTGCGTGTGGTTTGTTTTCTTGTGTTGCATGTTTGTTCCTGTGATTAGGGTGTATGTTGTAGATTCCTGTTTTAATCTATTTGTGTTTCGGACATCCTTTATAGTTTGCGGTGTGTTGTTGCTTATAATTACAGTTGTATGGGTATTGGTGTTCTGTCGGGCATTGTTTATTGTGATAATCTCCGTCACAGCCCCCAAAGGGTGGAAAATATTTACAAGTTGCTGTAACATGTCCGTAGCATTGTCAATTGAAATATTGCGTCACGATTACGGCTGGCGTTTTTTATTCCTTTACTTGAAATCTCTGATACTAGAGATTAACACCATTCGATATTAGGATCTGAATATTCTGTGTATCGTGTGCATGAACTTTAATGATATTGGTTGGACGTAGTAAACAAATGTCTCAACCAAAAACAGCGAAAAACGAATAGAAGCACAGAAACTCAACTTAGTATTACAACTGATTAAGCGAATACACAACCGCAAAACATATCTTACTCAATCATCTCAAAAACACCCGCATATTCATTCACGAGTACAAACAATACCCCCCCCCCCCCCAATGGAAGCTACCCAAAACATCTTGTTCGATTTTATTAGCGAATATCAAAAACCATCTTGACCAACAAGATTGCATTACTTTACTTCTTACGATAACCAAGAAACATTTCACACCTATTATTCCCTACATAATACAACAATTCATGGGTTCTCTTCTCACCATAACATTCACGGTACAACACAACAATATCCAAGATGTTCTTGCTAAAAAGATCACCTATACGCGTTTAATAACTTAATCAAATGAGAAAGTAATGATTTGCCAACGGAACTGTTCGTGAAGTGTAGGACTGTTACACAATCAAATTAAGAGAATTGGCAAAAAATCAATAAGTGATACAATTCTTATATTCATGGCATGACCTTGAAAAGGGAATAAGGATCAGTGTAATTACTCGCGAAGTGAATGAACCCTGATCTCGTGGTGTAAATCTAATAGTATTTAACCGAAAATAAACACATCATCAAGGAGGAAGGAAGAGGTCTTCATAGCACCCAGCCCTCCCAGGTCACACAAACACGACCAAATACCAAATCACAGATCATTCCGCATTGAAGCTGAATATTTTATTACTGAATATTTTGGTTATTACAGAAAACAAGCCAAAATGCTGATAATTTTATTTACAATTTTGGGCTTGTAGAATTTTGTTCAAATTCATTTATTTACAGTAGCGATTATATATGAGATAGTTGAATATGAATTTGGTTTGCTTTTGGACTACTAAGATAGCATGCCAAGTTTGGTCTGAATCGGATCCGTCCACAGACAGAAAGAAAGTTTTCCTTGATACTCAATAGTTACCACACCATTATGGCTTGATATGCATAGCGCAGATATGAAGAACACCTGTACCCAATTTTGATACTCTGCTCTGTCAAGCGAAGCGAGCCAGAGCTAGATAAAGGCAATTTTAAATTATCTTTAACAGACTATTAACGGAGTACGTGGTTTATGAAGGTGATTTGAAGTTGTTTTTAATAGACTACATACAAAACACATGGTTGATCAAGGCGACTTTAATCTGTTTTGAACAAACTATTTACAAAACACATGGTTGATCAAGGCGACTTTAATCTGTTTTGAACAAACTATTTACAAAGCACATGGTTGAAGTAGCCGATTTTATAGTGTTTACAACAGATGATTTACAAAGCTCGCGTTTGATAACGAAATTTGAAGCTGTTTTACAATAGACTATTTACAAAGTGCATGGAACAGTGGGATTTGACTATCACTACTATAACTCATCCAGAGTTCCAAAGTGCGTGCGTAGTGTGATTTTGATGCAATGGGACGCCAACCACTGACACTCGGATTCACAGTCCAGCACACTAAAACTGGGCCACGCCTAGCCACGTAAAATATTGTAGAAAAAGGAACAGTAACAAACCAAAGCTTTCGGAAACAGTTTTTATGTTGTTGTTTCTTTGTAGGATACTTATATTTCAAGTATTTCAATAACTGTGAGTTTGAGTTAGACATTAGATTCCGCTAATGTAGCTCACTCTGTGTTCTTTTCTATTATTATTTTTGCTGCTAATATCGTCCGTATCTCAAATAATGCACGAAAGATAAATTTCTTCAATCTATATTAATTAGTTTGTGATTGTAGATCACTGCTCCCTCCAGCATCACTGTCCTCCCTGTTCAAATTATTCAAGCATTAAGACTGTGTTGTGTCTTGGACGTTACTATGGAAATGCAGTATTGATCAGCAATTAATGATGAAATTAATTATTACCTGTGGTGACTACAAACGAGTCTCATAGTCATACCGATAGCTTAGAAGCACATCATTCGACTAAATATTTGGTAAGGAATTAATTATTACTTGTCGTGGCTTCAAAATGAGTCTCATTGTCATATATATATAGTTTGGAAATGTTAGTACAAGTACGGCTAAACGTAGGAGTGTGTGTGTGTTGAAGGATCCAGTATGGGTTATTGGTCTACGAAATGTTTAAGAGCAATTAAACCCTCATTGTATAGGATAGATATGAACAATGATTTTATATCCATACTTTTACGTTCAGTAAAGCTTGTACTCACTCTTAGCCCCTTTACTTTTAATGATAACTACAATAAACAGATCTGCGGGGTCGCTATGGAAGCCAAAATGGGTCCCACCTTTATCAACTTCTTTATTTGATACACCGAAATTGGTACATTTAATCAATAAACTAGATCAGTATCCATGATGAATCGTCGCTACATTCACGACAT